GCAGCAGCCATATACAAAAATGCCTCAATGACCAATAAGGCTGCATTCCTCTGTACAGCCACCGTATAAAACCCGCCCCATATTAAGATCCAGGATGGTTGGAAATCTGTCTGAATGGGAGGAGGGCTGGACGGGTCTGCCAGAGAAAATAAAACACATTCATCTGGTTCCCATGTTAGTCAGAAGAAGCCTGGAAAGTCCAACTATGTAATAATTCCTTGAAAACTTTGTGTCCAAATTAATCACACGGGGTTCAGCATTTAATTCATTAATTCCATTTGTTTAATTTAGGCGGACCACCCTCAGCTATTTAATTATCCCAATTATTGCTCTATGCATTGTTGCTTGGAAAATGGAGCCACAGTTTGGACAGTTTCTGCCACTTTGTGTGCTGACTGGGAGTGAATGCAGCTGCCTGTGATCATTAAAAGGCAATCAACTGGCAGGTTAGGTTTTAGGACATCTCTGTTGATTGGAGTGAGGACATAAAATTTGAGAATAAAGCGCTAAAATGTGGAGCTAAATGTTACACATCTTTGGTAGTTGGCAGGAGGAAAGCACCAACTGCTGGTCATTTTCATTTACATCAATAAAGCATGTGCACAGCCCAGAACCTCATTGCATTTAACGAGCTTCTAGCCTTCATTAACATATTGAGAAGAGCATAAAAAAACCTGAATGTCAATATTGGCCTTCTCCCAGCACCAGTTAATATATTCAAAGTACAATGTTCATGCTGCATAGATGTGCTGGTGTTGTTATTTTTACACTATAATAGTCTCCTGGGTTTAACGAAACCACAACCATCAATTCTTCTCTACTTGTTTGATCAGCAGCTGTGCAAATTCAGATTGTGAACTTATTTCAGAGGAGAATGTGACAGTAAACAGCATCTATAAACTGGGCCACAGTGTGTTTACTCATTAAACATGCTGCTGATCTGATGTTGGTTGTTAGTTTGCACAAATTGGCTCGTAATTCAGACTCGTCAGTTGAGACTGATGCTGGTAAAACATTGCACAGGGACACCGTTGCCAGTGTCTCGTGTATCCGTGGCTTGTTTATGAATGTAAGGTTCTCTGACCTAACATATAACCTCTTATTAAGGTATGTCATTTTCTCTCCAAGTGCCCCCCCCCCATTGCCCTTGCCTTGCTCCTTCAGCAGGGCAAGGAGAGATAAACACTCTGACAGCTCCTTCACATTTTTGAGGTGGAGGAAGAGCCAGCAGCATCTTTCATTCTAAATATAGATCCCCTGATGAATCGCCTGCATGCCTGTAATGCTGCTGCTGCTGCTGCTTTGGCACTCGCCTTCACCTCCTGTACTATGCGATGCTGCGTGCATACTCTCATGCAGTATGAGCCTCCCCTCCCTCTCCCAGAAATGCTGCAATGCGTCTCCCTCAGCCAAGACTGGGTCAGTGTAACTTAGCTAGCAGGAAAAGCCAGAGAAGCGTCCCCATAGCAACAGCCAATGAGGCTTGTGGCTGAGGGATTATTTTTTTTGCATTGTTGTTGTGATAAAATGAGCGTATTTCCGGGATTAAACTCGTCGGGGGCCTTTAGTTGGTGCCAGTGGAGAAATAAGATGGCAAGTGAGCAAAAGAGAAGATGGGGCGGGGTTGAGGTTGCTTATGTACTTGTGGACGTGTGCAGAGTTATTGTGTTGGCAGATGTTGGCAGACAGGGTGTTTTACCATCAGTAAATAATCCTGGTCATACAGGATTTTTATACAGGGAAATATTGGTTTTCTTCTAATTTAACCTGTTTTGTTTACAGCTATTCTGCTTTAGAGTTTTGTCAGACATCATATAGAGGTTTTTTTTAATGGAAATAGTTGTGTTTAACATCATTACATATGGATTCCCCCTTTTTAGCCATTGTGGTGGCAAGGGATCTAAATGTTGGTCAATCGGTGGGTCCACTACTTTGATTCTGGGTCTCCACCAATATTGGATGGATTGTCTTGAAATTGAGTACAGGCAGACATTCGTGTTCACCATAGGATGAATTTTAATAACCTACATGATTTCTTAACCTTTCTTCTATGTCAGAATCTCTATTTAGTTTATAATCCAGTATTTGCAAAACTTACAATCTTTCCATCAGCCTCAGCTGTACTTTGTGTTAATGCTGATTAGCATCAAGAAAACTAAGTGTATTTCCCAAAAACTATTCCTTCAAATTGTGTTTCTCTGCTGTTAAGCCCAGTTCACACAACAACCAGTTCACGAGCCGTGAGCGATTCCCAGCGAAAATAGATGTCATACTAACATTAAACCAGCAATGTATACACCTTTCACTTTTTTTTCACACACTTTCTTATTTTTATTTTTTTACCTCCTGTATCTGTTTCATGTCAAAAGCTCTCTCTTAACAGTGTTTAAGTGTTGTGAATTTTCTCTTGTAATAGGAACAACCAGCAGCTATTAACCTCTTTAGACAAAACCCTCTGTAACTCTGGGATGTTTTGCTTTTTATTCCTTTCCAGTCATTTTTTGTAGTCATAAGGTGTTTTTTTACTCTCTGTTTAGGCCAGCGGATTCTCCAGTATCAGAGTGATGTCCTCAAGACAGTGGTGTTGGTGAACCCATCAGAGGAGACCGCTGCCTCAGAGGTGAGTCACACCCAGACAACATGTACAAAACATTATTATTATTATTTTTTTTTTCATTTAAATCACACTGATAAGTTTCAGACCAAAATGTTCAGTCTGGGTTGAACTTGGGTTCACTTATGAAGAACACAGCAGCACCTGCTGTTCACAATTTACCCCCAATGGGAGGTCCATGTCTGTCCTGCTAGACATCATTACTTAGTTGATTAACAGGAAAACACTCTTAGTCACTGTCACTCTCAGCTAAAGCCCCGAAGTGTGAGACACAGACACTTGCACTGCCTATAAATAAACCCACTCAGATGCCATAGATGTTAGCTTAACCTTTGACTGCTGGTGAAATGTAAAACGTGAATTAACCTTGTAGTTTTTATTGTTATCTTTGTCTAGTGTATTATGATGGAAAGGCAAGTAATGGGACTTGTAATACACCTGATCCCTGAACCTGTACCTGTACTGTAATTAACTTTTATTCTTCTGGAGCAACTTCAGCTACTCAGGGAGACATGACAACAAAATGTATGTCTTAAATAAATGGCTACTCTATTGCACCTTTTGTTGGCTGATATTAGAAGAAACTTTGCCTTTTCCAAACACTCTGTCTTGGTATGGAGTGGTAGTGATTGCAACTTTTCAACAATTAGGAGTAATTTTAGACTGTTACATTTATATTTTGTATATGAGCAGTTCCTCAAAATGCATGTTTGACCATTTGTGTCACACTCACATTCATTGTTGCAATATCTACTTCAAATTCTTTAAATATGTCTTCTTTAGCTTGCCAATCATCCCTCACAAGTGTTATTATCACTCAGTGGCTCGGTGCTGCCTGGATGACATCAATTAGGGGAAGATTGAGCAGCTCTCAAACTCAATAGCACTCAAATCATTTCATGATGCATGTGAGATGATGTCTTTGCTCTTTGGGGAATCATACTATTATGATTATGATACCAGCTAAATTATTTGCATTAGGTCACTCCAAAAGGATTTTTCATCTTTTCAAAGCAGTACCATTCAACTTTTTTGTTTTTTTTAAAAGCATTAATGTTAGTGGTTATTCTTTACTTTACCCAGATTCGCTCTCTGATCACTGACCTTTCTGGGAATAAGTTGCTGATACTGAGTGGCCAGAGCTCTGAGCAGGGTGGTGACATCCTACTGCAAGGTGGGGCTTTCACCTGGCAACACTTCTCCGACATCATTTCCAACCCTCAAGTAAGCAGAGTGTGCTATCTCTCCAAATACGTCTTTACAGTGTACACGTACAGATCAATTTCCAATTATAAAGCCTACAGACATTATTTTTGACATAATTTAGGTTGTTTTTCACTGTTACTGTGTTCCCAGGTGATTGAACTCCTGTCCAGGGCCACTTCAGAGCAGCCGTCAAGGCTTACAGTTTCCTGTCAGGGAGACGGGGGCTGGAGCTCCCTAGGCCAAAGCCAGGAGCAGCAGTCACTCCAAAATCTTCTGGAATACCGCCTGAACCCTGAACCCCACCTCCCCGACATGGACGGAGTCACAGAGTTCACCGAGTATGTCTCAGAGACAGTGGATGTGCCATCATCCTTTGACCTTCTGGAGCCCCCAACCTCTGGAGGTTTTCTGAAGCTGTCCAAGCCCTGCTGCTACATCTTCCCTGGAGGCAGGGGAGACTCTGCTCTGTTTGCTGTCAACGGGTTCAACATCCTTGTGGATGGAGGATCTGACCGCAAGTCTTGCTTCTGGAAGCTGGTTCGCCACCTGGACCGCATCGACTCTGTTCTACTCACCCATATTGGTGCAGACAACCTCCCTGGCATCAATGGGTTGTTCCAGAGGAAGATTGCAGAGCAAGAGGAGGAGCGTAACCAAGGATCTGGCTCCAACAGCAACAGTGACTGGACGAAGAACCTGATCTCTCCTGAGCTTGGGATTGTGTTTTTCAACGTTCCAGAGAAGCTTCGGATGCCAGAGTCCACGCTGAAAGTGAAGAGAAGCATTGAGGAAGCATCTCTTACATTGCAGTACCTTAACAAGCTTGGTATCACACCAGAGCCTCTTCACAGGGTAGTCAGCAACACTATTGAACCTATCACATTATTCCACAAACTGGGAGTTGGAAAGTTAGACATGTATGTCTTAAACCCTGTAAAAGAGAGCAAAGAGATGCAGTTTCTAATGCAGAAATGGGCTGGAAACAGCAAAGCCAAGACAGGCATTACAATGCCCAATGGAAAAGAAGGAGAAATATCTGTACCATATTTGACATCAGTTACCGCTCTCATTGTTTGGATTCCTCACCGTCCAACAGAAAAGATAGTCAGGGTGCTTTTCCCTGGAAATGCACCGCAGAATAAAATCTTCGAGGGCCTTGAAAAACTGAAACACCTGGACTTCCTGCGATACCCAGTGGCTACCCAAAAAGACATATCATCTGGCGCTCCTCCTCCTATCATCAAACAGACAAAAATAAGATCAAGAACTGACAGCAAAGAGAGTCTCAAATCTTCACCCAAACCACACTCTAAAACAAAGAAAGAATCAAGTGGACAGGAGGAAGAGTCGAAGAGTGACATGACTAAAGAGAATAAAGTAGAAAAGAAAGAGGAGAAGAAACTCAAAAGTGAAAGTCTAAAAGCCACCAAACAGCAGAAAAACAGTGAGGTGGCCCCTGTGGCAGAGAAAAAGTCAGAGAAAAAGAAAATTTTCAAGGAAAAAACTGCCAAGCAGGAGAAAGCATCCAAGATGGATGAAAAGAAAGACAAAGAGAAAAAAGAAATTAAGAAAGAGAAACGTGAAGTAAAGAAAGATGAAAATATAAGAAAAGAAGAGAAAAAAGAAAGTAAAGTCAAGGAGGATAAAAAAAAGGACGCAAGTAAACCAGAGCTGAGAAAAATCACTAAACCGCCGCTCACCCCTGAAGTGAGAAAAACTCTGCACAAGGCTAAGACTCAGGCTAAGCCCAAGACTGACAAGAATAAAGCAGTTAAAGAGGAAGCAAATGAGAAAAAGCCAGTCCCAAAGAACATCCCTGAAGAGGTTGCAGCAGCAGCTCTGGCTGACAGGTCCATAGTGTCCTCCCCAGAGGACCTCACTGAGGACTTTGAGGCTCTGAAGCAAGAAGAGTCATCCAAAGTTAAGTCTGTGCCTATCCAGAATGATGTGATGTTTGGGCATTCATTGTACCCAGATACTAAAGTTCCTTCCTTAGTTTTCCCTGATGAGAAAGTCACATCGACAGTCACTGAGATAAAATCTGCTTCACCCAAATCCCCTGTCAAACAAGAAGAAGACAACAAAGACAAGGGCACATCACAACAGGTTGCAACCACTGAAAAGAAGGAAACAAGTGATGGCTTTGACAAGAAGTATAAAGAGGAGAAATATGACAAATACCCTGTAAAGGACAACATAAAAGACAGATCAAAGAAGAGTGACAGCTCAGAGGAGGAGGGTGATGTAATTGAAAAAGCCGAGCTTGAAGGAACAGAAGATGACGAGGTCCTGAAATATAAAACAGAGGAGGCGAAAAGGGAAAAAACTGGAAAGGAGTGGGACAACAAGCCAACTGAGCAAAAACCTTTATCAACCACAGCCCTGTCTGGGCAAGTAGCAGCCAGTGCCTCAGAGCAGTTCTCCTTCATCCAAGACGAGACAATCCCCGGTTACTCCGAGACTGAACAGACCATCTCTGATGAGGAGATCCATGAGGAAACAGAAGATAAAATTCCACAGCTGCGCTACGATGTGGGCTCCTACGACATCTCTGTCCCTGACGTCCCTGGTACCTTTGACTCCATGCATGGTATAAAGGAGATGAAGAGCTCTGCTGTATCTGATGTTGCAAATGTCAAACCCAAAGTCTTCATGGGAGGTCACGAGCCTGAGCTTGCACCTTATCCTGCCATCATTGCTGCTCCTCTTGCAGAGGAGGAACATATCTCCTCAGCAACATCCATCACAGAATATGACAAACTGTCATCCTTTGCCACGTCTGTAGCTGAGGACCAATCGATAACCTCTGTGACAGCACCTCAGACCGAGGAAGCTGGGAGGAACTCTCTCCTGCTTGACACCATCAACAGTATCCCCTCACGTGCTGAGGCCATCCACGGGAAGGACTATCTTCACTCAGCAGGAACCATCTCACCCACCTCCTCTCTGGAGGATGACAAGTGCTTTAAGTCTCCGTCCTCTGATGAGTACCAGCCGAACATTCCTGAGATGGAGGGTGATGCAAAGATCAAATCGGTCCACCACGAGGAAGAAGATGATGAGGAAGATGAGGACGAGGACCAGACTCCGAACGTTGACATCCCTCTGGGTAAACTCCAAGAGGGCTATGAACATGCAGCCTCTATGTTGCTTCAGGAGAAGGATAAATCTCCCTCTGCCACTTTCTCTCCTCCTCCCTTCTCTACCACTCAATACTCTCCCACACAGGCTGTTAAAGAAAACCAGGCTCTCTTTAGCACAGTGGGATTTAAGACTGCTGCTGATATAAAGCCTGTTTCACCCCCTCCATCTTTCTCCCCAGGGTTAGAGTCCCACTCCAGGCAGGAGAGTGAGGAAAGATGTCTAAGTCCAGATGACAGCACTATGAGACTGGCCTCACCCACACAGTCTGTGCCCACAAGCAGTGGCTACTCTCCGACAGAAGAGAAACCCTTTAAGACAGAAGACAAAGATGAGGAAGTGACCGATGTTAAAGCTGACTCCCAGAAAACAGATAAATCAGTCACTATCTTAGACAATACCTCCTTTATCGGCCTGCAAGGTGACAAGACAGCACTTGAAGAGTCGGAAGAATCCACTGAAGACAATGAGGATGAAGATGACTGTTACGCCAAAAAGGATCTACAGCCTACTGTTAAGGCCAAGCTTATGGAGGCAAAAGAGGGATGCTTCTTGGATGACGACTTTACTTTTGAGTCAAAATCTGCAACGATAGAAACTGAAGTCAAGGGCTCAGACAAGACACAGGTGTCTATTAGCACAGTGGAGAAACCAAAACCTCAAGTGATGTTCTCAGATGAAGATGAGGATGAAGAAGAGCAAGATGATGATTTCCCAGGTGGGGTAGGGTCAAAGCCCTCACCAACAGATCAAAGTAAAGTAGACTTTAAAAATGAAAGCACAGAGAAAACAGATGTTGCTTTTAAAGAGCCTGAGAAAAGTGTTCATTTCGGTCTATATGATTTTCCAGAGAAGGAAAGCAAAGAAAAGGCTGTATATATAAGACAAGACACACCCTATGTGCACGGTAAAACATTCTCTTACGGTGACGTTTATGACAGTAAAACAAGCTCAGTGGACTCTGATTCTTATAGTCAGGAGTCCTTAGATAAGACGGAGAAGGACATTGCACAGGGTGAAGGAGATTTGCAGAAACATGAGGGCCCGTCTCCGGTAACTGCCACAGACAAGATGTCAGAGAAGGAGGGATTTACGGTCTCTTATGGAAAAGAGTCCTCCACCTCATCGTGGCTTGACACCAAGGGCACTTCTTCTACACCTTCATTTGAAAAACAGGACAAAGAAAAGGAGACATTTGAATACAGCACAAGTAGCCGTTTCCCTTCGGTGACTGACAGACCCGAGGCCTCGTCCACTTCTTTATCATCAGAAAAAGACTCCTGTTATAAAAGCCAGACTGACGGCACAAAGCCCCAGACATACTCCTCAATGACAGCATTTGATGTCGACAAACCTGCTGCCACAGGCTACAGCGAGAAAGGAGCCTGTTTGGAGATTGACATGAGAAAACTAACAGCCAGGGATGAGGAGGACTACGATGATGATGAAGTTGTCGATGAAGATGATGATGAGGAGGAAGATGAAGAGGAGGAGGAGGAGGAGGATGACGAAGGTGCAGTTGATTCTGATATGGAGAAAGGTGCCAAAGAGAAGTCTGAGAAGGAAGTAAAAAGTCCAATCAGCGAAATGTTTGGCTCAAATAGGCCTGAATTTATGGTTTCTATGGCTGGATACGGCTACAACAGTCAGGGGAAGCCGAGTATGAAAGAAACCAGTTCTAGCTCACTCACAAAGGCTGAAGACAAGGCTAAGACTGACTCTGCATCCTTCAGTGGAAAGCCAATGGATTTAGGGGCTACAGGTTTCTCTGGCTACTCCTCTGGGTTTGAGTACTCATACGGAAGTAGTGAGAAAGACTCAAGTCAGACCACAGACAAAGATAAAGAGGATTTGACTTTGAAATCAACAGAGGACAGTTATTACCAGGATGACAGAGCTGACTCTGATTTTGATAAACAGAAGACACCAGATCTTCTAAGTAAGAGATCACTGGACACAAGCTTTCAGCACACAACCACTGCTGCCCCTGCGTACTCCTCCTCTTCGGCCTACAGCTACTCCTCCTCCACCTCGGGCTCCCTCTCTACCAGCCGTCAGTTCGGAGAGGAGCTGGAGACGCCTGCCGAGCCTCTCTTTGAGTACTCCTCCTTTAAAGATGAACATTCACTGGTCATGGATTCTCCCTTCTCCAGCTCCGCTGCCACTAAAGACGACTATCTAGAAGTGTCTGAAAAACAGATCACCGCTACAACCATGGAGTCCACCTCAAGTTTAGCCCGCTTCTCACCCCTCAGCCCATTCGAGGAGGTCAAATCCTTCCCCTCGCTCTCGTCCTCTGCCTTTGCTGAAGACAAGAAGGAGCATACAACTTCATTAGGTGGGGTTACGGACAAAGGTCCTCAGTCGGACTGCTTCTATAAGCCTGAATGGTCTAAGGGGTCCAAGCTGGATTCAGCTGTTGGATATGGGGCCTCAGCAGGACCATTCTGTCAGTCTACAGAGCTCTCCAAGGACAAAGAGGCAGCCAGCGCCGCTCTGTTTGGTGTCACTTCCTCACCACGCCCAGACATAGAAGGCAAGCATTACTTTGAGGAGACGGACAGCAGTGACGAAGAGGATGAAGAGGCTTACATGCGTGAGATGACTCGGAGGTCACCTTCCGGCGGCCTGGCTGGTAGCCTCTCATTTTCTGACAAGCCTGTTGCTCCAACTGCCAGTGAAAAGGCAAGTGGAGCACTCCCAGATGTTCTTGGTTCTTACATGCCCTCACCTCTCCAGGTCAGCAAGCCAGACAAAACCAACGGTCCCACAGAGGTCAGCTCAAGCTCTGCCCTCGTTACTGGAGCAGCAGCTAGTGGTGCATCTTCAGGCCCAGCCAAGGTGGAGCCCAGAGAAGGAGCCGCAGGTTACAGGAGCTCTTATGAGTGGGAGATGTCAAAGCCTCAGATGGGTATGGTACCCGGAGACTCCCCTCCCCATTACCGTCACGATGATGAGTTTGAAGAAGAGTGTGAGATGGAGCCAGAGCATCCTGCCCGCCCACTTTCTCTCTCTTCAACCGATAAGCCATTTCACTCACCGTTCTATGCTGAAGAGTGCAGTCGAGGAGGGCACGATGATGACGATGATGACAGCGATCAGGATCTTGCTGGCAATGTGCCCATGGGAGCCACCTCCTCTTATACCAGCCGCACCTCTCCTGGATATTCCTCCTCTGAGTGCAGGCAGCGCAAAGAGGACCTCTCACCTTCCTTCATCAACCCATGCATGCGGCAGTTATCCAGTGATGAGGATGATGAGGAGCAAGGCCGCAGAAGTGACCAATCGCAGGGCGATGAGCACGATCTGTCAGTCAAGAGAAGGGCTCACAAACAGCCCCATCATCCCCAGTCTCACAGCAGGGACAGCAGCTCTCTGCACCAAGCCGGTGGCATGTCGGCAGGACTGGGTCTGGCTACAGAGGACACACCGCCCACGTCTGTCAGCGAATCTCTAGCCTCTCAGTCAGACTCTGATGTGCCTCCAGGCACAGAGGAATACCCCTCAGCCACTGGTGAAGGCAACATGGACTCAGATGAGGATGCAGACTATATGCCTGTTGATAAATTAACTGCCACCGGAGGAGGTAGCCATCATTCCTCTAGGAGGAGCCATGACCCTCCTCCTGCTCCCCTCATGGACCCCTACCCTCACCCCCCACGCCCAGATGTTTGCATGGTGGATCCTGAGTCTGAGAATAATGGCTCAGTTAAGAAGGAGCCAAAAGCCAAGAGCATAAAGAAGACTTCAGGGAAAACCAAAACAGCATCCCCAGCCAGGCGCAAGAGGTCTCCCATGCCTGTCAAACAGACGCCGTCCCCTCGCAGTGCCTCACTGAAGAAGAAGGAGGCAGATAAGAGCTCACGTATGTCTCGTCTGTCAGACGGACAGGGCTCCAAAGACGATGACCTCTCCAGGTCGAGTTACAACCCTGGCAAGGGGCTGACTAATGGTGTCAAGAGCAGTTCAGGTGAGCAAAATTAATTAAAAAAAGAATTCTCAAAGCCCTTTAGATATAAATGACATTTAATTCCACACACACAGATTTTGTAAGATAAATGATTTCATACATTGTTTGGTTTTGTTGTCCCATTCAGGTTCTCAGAAGTCTGGCTCTGCAGGTGCTCCTGGCCTTCCTATTTATGTGGACTTGGCCTACATTCCCAACCACTGCAGTGCCAAGAACGTGGACCAAGAGTTTTTCAAACGCATTCGCTCAGCGTACTATGTGGTGAGCGGTAATGACGCAGCAAGTGGGGAACCAAGCCGAGGAGTCCTTGATGCGCTGTTGGATGGCAAATCTCAGTGGGGATCGAACCTGCAGGTAACATTTGCAACTGTACGTAGTAAAGTTTATAGCCATGTAAAAGGAAGAAATACTAACATTCTTGAAGTTAGCAGCAGAACTAGCACTAAACATTTATAAATCATGCACACAGTGTATGAATTTAGCTGGCTAAGGTAGTGGAATATAATTGTTAAACTAATCACAGGCTGGTGACAGCCAAAGTTGTCAACCACATCTCACCATGGCTGTTAAATTTCAAAAGATTTAACAGATGGCTGTGCATAATAATAACCTCAACAGCTGGATACAACGCTGGGTTATGCTGTATTTCAGTCAGATAAGTGGGGGCCCTGTGTGGAAAGAGATATTAGATTGAGACTGAGACCCTCCTGTTGACAGCAAAGTAAAAACTAAGTGGGCGAATCCTGATATTTTAAATTTCCCTGAGGATGGAGGTAGGCTTGAGTGTGCATTCTTTCTTTCCCATTAAGGCTCAAAAAATCTCTCCATTGGCAGATTTACATGCAAGTATCTGAACTAATGCAGATGTTTACTTCTGTAAATTCAACTGTATGTCATTGTCTCCCTTCTTACACTTGTGCAATGACAGTACAGTTTAATCTTACATTAATTATCTTGATTATAAGCTAATATTTTACTCGATTCTACAAACTCTTGATAAGTGAAACAAAATGTTCTCTTCTATTACCCATGTCACATCCTTCCCTGCACTTATCCTCTCAGCTGTGTCAGTCGTGACATTTCGTGATCTCTCGTCTCCCTCTCAGGTGACGCTGATCCCAACGCACGACACGGAGGTGACCCGTGACTGGTACCAGCAGACACATGAGAAGCAGCAAGAGCTCAACATCATGGTCCTGGCCTCCAGCAGCACCGTGGTCATGCAGGACGAGTCTTTCCCAGCCTGCAAGATCGAATTTTAAGACCCTCGTTTCCTCTCTCCCTCCTCCTGGCCTCTCCCCAGTGTAGATCTGTTTTTAATTGCTCTTCTCTATAGTCTAATATGTAAATCTGTCTCTGCTTTGGGCGCCTTGACCAAAAGCAGAAACAGATCTGGATAACTGTCTATTTTTTTCTAGATTTTTATTCATTTATAAGCTTGTCGTGGCTATCACCATTTATATTACAAAAGTAGTTTTCTGACAACTATGTCCTCCACTACATTATTATTACTCAGTCCTGTGAAAGGGAGAATGCAGTTTTTTCTGTTCCTTAACTTGTTTTTTTTTCCAAACCCTGTGAGACAATGGAGTCGTTCTTTATTGGCCAAGACAAAATGTCCATTGTATTGTAAAAAAAAGAAGCATGTCATATAGGAAACCATATAAAATTTGGTTGTTTGGTTGCTTGTCTTTTAATTGGCCTAAATCAAAGCACAAGCTTGCGCACCTTAAAGCCAGCAACAAACTACAAAATGATTTTCTTCCACTGAATCCCAGACATTCACAATGCAGGTGACCAATTTAATACATTTGCTGATAGAAAGTCATCATTACAGGCTAATTGTGATCAGTTCCCTTCCTCTATTATCCCTTTCTGTCTTTCTTCTAAAACAATGGCAGTCCCGATGTTGAACCTCCTACTTACTGACATAGTGAGATAGAAAATAGACCCCCAGCGGTCCTTTCAATCTGTCTTTTGAGTATATTTGCCGTAGCATAGGAAAGACCATATTCAACAATCTGTATTGTAGTGAATTATGATATTTCTACGGTGAAAATCAATCGTTACAGTAAGAATTTCTCAGTGGCTGTTCTTTCTTACAGTGAGTTTGAAAAATAAGTTTCTCTCTATAACTGTTTCTGTAGTCTTTGATGTATTTTTTTCAGTGTATTTCCAGTTAACATATCGTTGCAGAGGATCATGAGGACAACTGGCAGAGGCAGAGGCGGTGATACCAGTACAAAAAAAATAAATAGAAATCATAATCCTGATCTTTGGATTTTACCTGTTTATATCTTTACATACAGAACAGCCCTCTGTGTTCAAAGCTCATCCGAGGAACGAAGACAAACCTCATATCAGTTGCTGCGTCTAAAAGATCTTTATACAAAAGCTGTGTTAAAGAATGAAGAATGTATTCCACTACAACAATAGGAACATGTGGTTTGCGAGGAGAGTTTGTGTTTGCCTGGTGAACAAAGATGTGGGCCGGTTCGATTGATGGTAGAGGTTAGACTGTCACCCACATGTGCCTTTCTGTCCTGCTGTGCTGGAAGGGAAATGAAATGTGTTTTCGTGGTAGAAATGTAAGGTATTTCAGTGTGCGGTGCGTCGCTGCCTCTGTGGCAGAGGCTTCGGCGAGCTGGTCTCCTCTGTTGTTGTGAGTTTTTGTCAGTGAGAGCACACACAGGTCCGAGTTGTACATATTGAGCATAAAACAGCACTTTTAAAGCACCAACTCAGTATTTGAGCCGCTGCGTTTTAGATTTCCTGGAGCTGCCACTCGAAGAAGCACAAATAGTAACCAGTGTGCAAAACTTAAAGCAGTTTTTGCTTTTTTCAAATTTAGCAACATAAAATGTATAATTACAGCATTTACACTGAAAACCTGTGCTATTTCTTTCTTTTAATTATTGCAGTTTGTCTTCAGTTTGCAGAATTGTTTTTAGCCACAATCACCTTAACTTCATGATTTTAAATTGTATTATTTAACAGGCATTGCAGTGGTAAATCAGTGGATGTTTTTAAGTAATACTTTATTAACTTAATATTATGTGTATTACGTGTTTTAATTTGATATTGATGATTTTATATTTTGATAAGTTTTGAGTAATTTAATAGATTTTAATCAGGAACAAAACCAACTATCCAGCAAATGACAGGACCAACACACCTCACCAGGGTTGCTATTTTATGATCCACAGTAAAAAAAAAAAATCCAGATATTCCTCTGTATGATATTTTATTCCCTCAACTCTTCTACTGATGCATGTACAACAGACGCATGTTCATAAAGGCGATGGCTTTTTAAAAACCTGAGGGCTGCAGGGAGCAGAGCCCCGAAACCTCAGTTGAATGTGACGATGCAGATTACCTTTACGTTCTCCGTGGAGGACTTCAATCTCCTGGTTGCCTTGGTTACTGTGCATCATATGGTACATCTGAATCATCGGTCACACTGGCACTAACAATCTTACTGTAGCCTGCAATACATCCCGAATGCGCAGGGAAGACAAACTTTGTGTGCAGATTAAACAGGAAACAATTCAGATTTCTGTGTGCAGATTAAAATGTTGTCAGCGTGATAAACGTGAGACAGTGTCTGCCACTTGGAGGAGACAGTGAAGAAACTATCCATTAACAGCTTCTTTGATAAAGCAGGATTAACTGTGACTTCAGTGTTTTCCTGTTAACCCACTGTGCTGCCCAGTCAGTTATAACAGTGTAACCTGCATTCCTATTTAATACTGCGTCACCGTAAAGGCTAATAATAACAAAACCTACTACTCACACTCAAAACCCAGACTGCCAGACACAAGGGACTCAGTTCACTCGTCAGTACATTTTTATCTATAGAGGATTTCCTATTAATCACACTTTTTCCAGACAAAGCTTAATATACAAACACACATACACATAACCGCTGCATTTTCGTATCGTGCAAAAAAAAGAAAAAAGAAAAAAGAAAATATCTGTGGCATCAGACTCATCTGCCGTGAAACAAATCATCATAAAGACTGTTGGTTTTCAGTGAGCCCTGCTTGTACGTGCATGTGTACCCTTTAAGTTCTCCTGTATTGTAATAGCTGAAGAAAAAAACTGACTTAACATAGAAATGCTATTTTAAAAGATGTATATTCAAGAAGCTAAGCTGTCCGGTACTGAGGAGGCACATGTAACCTGGCTGTGCTGTGCTGTAAAGAAAGCCTTGTGATCGTTTTATTTCCCCTTCCTTTCCGCTTCATGGTTCTACTTTCATCTCTTGTTTTAAGTGCAATATTCTCTTTATCTCTCTTTAAATGCTTAAAAAGGTAAAAAATAGAAAACAGATTTATTGTTAAAAGGGAAAAGTGTGGTGAAGACCAATAAAAACATCATTTACTGAAAGAAAATTGTCTCCCTCTTCTTTTCCTTTAGTATCATCACATCACATATTGAAAATGTTTTTGTTCTGTAAACTGATGTAAATGAGTTTTACCTTTTTTTTTTATCTAACTGATCAGTGGGTTTAATTCTGAGTTCACTGGTTCCCAAACATTTTAGTTTGTAACCTTTTATAGCAAAGCAATGCCCGCTAGCGAACCCTCCTCGTGTCTGTGTGCAGTTTGACTAAAAGGGTTTTATTTTATGGTTTTTAGAGGCCTGAAGAGCTTAACACAGGTGTACATTATGATGATTATGGCTCCAGTCCATTAAGTGTCCCAGTAAACCATGTCAGTGAGTGAACTTACCTAGTAGAGCTGCAGTATCCATTAATGTTACTGATTACACCTGTGCTTTTAAAGCTTGGGAACTTGGGATCCTTGTAGCATTTTGTATCTTAACAATACGATACAGAGCATTGTTTGTACTTTATAAAGTGTTTGCTTTTGACCTGTGACCCACCATTAAGTTTCAGTTTTTCAGGAAAAATTCTGGGCCCCCTGAACTAGAGGAAAAGCCATTAGGATTCATCCTCTGGGCACATTTAATATCTGTACCATGTTTCACCAAGTCAGTCCATCACACAGTTATTGAGATGTTTTACTAACAAACCAAAATGTCAGTCTCATCGTGCTGTTGCAGAAAAAGTCACCAATTAATTATCAATCTCAGATTAAGCTACAAATACTTAAATTCAGCTCAATAAAGTGACCGAAATACTCACTAATACAGTCTATCTTAAAAAACTGGGTTGTCATTCTTGTTCTAAATACAACTTGCTTATATTTTGGGCATTTATGCTAGTTTTAAGACCCATTACGTTCTTTCAGTGGCAGGTTTTTATGCTAGTTTTAAGAATTCTAGTTTTGGCTTACCCTGAAAATTTATTTTATTTAAGAATATTTGGCTTGTTTCTAAAAGGGCTGTTTTTTGCAGTGTAAAAAATGGCAACAAACTAGCAGATAAAACAGTTTTTGGAAACAGAAATAATTCCTATCACCTTCCTGTCTTGTTCATCCCTCTGATTTCACTCCTGACCCATTTTGGTGTCCCGACCTGCAGGTTGGGAACCAATAATCTAGCCTGTAACCACCAGTTTTCCTTCCTCACTGCCTCAGAGTGTAAGGATGATGTAATCCAGTGTGGGTTGAACCCCACGGAGAGGTCCAGACAGAGGAACAGTGTGGGCTTTGTTCTGACTCTGTTAAACCCTTTTTCAACCGTCTGAGAGTCCAATCATGTGTAGGGTGGAAGCGCCGAGGCCCCGCAGCGCTGATATGAGCTGTTTGTCATGCAAAGCAAGCTGAACAGAGACGGCAGTGAGTGGTGCAGCATCAGCTCCCTGTTTTTGTTGTCAGTTGGAGACACTGTTTGGTCTTTGTGAAGCTGATACTGTTGTTGGAGGAAGGAGACGGCGGGACGCTGGACGACAATCCCCGCTGTCAGAGGCTGCTGAATGGATGCTGTAATGACATCACCTCCCGAGTCACATGATCAGGGTGGAGAACAGTAGGAACAACAGATGTGTCTGTTTCCCTTTTCTTCAGCGGTGGAAAATAACCAAGTTCATTTATTCCAGTATATAACAGGG